GTAGTGGCAGTGGTAGCGGTAGTGGTGGCAGCATTAGTAGCATCAGTAGTAGCAGCAGTAGTATAAGTAGTAGTAGAAGCAGTCATGGTATTAGTAGTAGTAGTAGTAGCAGCAGCAGCAGCAGCAATAGCAGCAGCAGTAGCAGTAGCAGTAGTAGTAGTAGTAGCAGCAGCAGTAGTAGTAATAATTATGGTAAACATCATTGTTATAGCTTTTCACTAGGAACCATAGTCATGGCATTAGATAAGGAAACAGACGCTCAGATGAATAGATCGATACACAAATCATATACATGCATGTATGTGTACGTCTGTATAAATATATACAAACATAATGGTGTGTCATTTGAGGTAAATACATTGAGATGTATGCAACAAATGCAAAAACACACAAAGGTGGAAAGAAAGATGTGCCAAAACCAATGCGTACATGTGTATATATATATATATATAGATGTATACACCTGGATATATTTCTGTGTCTCTCTCTCTCTCTCTCTTCTCTCTGTCTCTCTCTCTCTCTCTCTCCGTCTGTATGTCTGTCTGTGCGTCTCCCTCACTCCATTAGGTAGTTATATATATATATATATTTGTATTTATATTTTTAAATTTTTATATTTATATATTTATATAATGATGTATTTGTATGTATGTATGTGTATGTATATATATATATATATTGTGTACGTATAGATGATTGATGATGTTTGAATTTACAGGTGCCCCGTCACCACTGCGCCGACGCCGTCGTCGCTGCACATGGCAGTGTGACGCAAGCGGCCAGGGCCCTGTACCCACAGGCACAACGGTTCGGCTCCATATTTTGTAGGTCTGTGTTTTGAGGTTTGGGGTTGGGGGTGGGTTGGGATTTAGGGGGTGGGTGTAGGAGTTGGGGAGGTTTAGTTTCAGGGTTCCTTGTGTTTTGAGGACTCGGAGTTGGCTGTTTGCGGCTATGTGTTCTAAAGCTTCAAAGCCCATAAGGCTTGAGGGTTGCCAGTGTGCAGGCAAGGGAGTTCGGCCTCAAAGCTGCTTCGGGGCGTCACGGAAAATGCAGTCACTGAGCCCAAAGCCTGCAACGACTTCAAAACCCAGTCAACCCTTCAAGCCCTAGGTGGTTGTAGGGTTTTTAGGGTTTCGGGTCTTGTTCAAGCAGCATGCAACTAAGTGGAAGTGTCGGCTCCTTGGGAGTGTTGACCTGAGCTTACCTGAGCTTGTCCCAGCTCCCGGCCCTAATATTGCGCTTGAGAACACATGGCTACGGTAGGTACGACTCTTTATGGTTTCGTAAAGTTATACCATACTCAGCCCCAAGGTCCTCCTCTGCTAACGATGATAAGGGGCCTAGACATGTTACCACACCTTACTTCCTGAGGCCCCTAGCAGCCCCAGCCGCGCATACAGCCCCCGCCAGAGCGCCCACAAGAACTACATGAGCAGCAGGTTTAGGGTTTAGGGTCTAGTGTTAGGCCAAGTGGAACGTCCGTATTGCCGAGCCATGTAGCTACCGATTTGGGGAGGGCGCCCGTTCACCATCGCCAAGTGCGCCTATAAAGACTGCCGAGAGGGGCCGCACGCCGTTCACCCAGGCGCAGCTAACAGAGGCGGTCGCTCGACTCCGCGCCGCGAAGGTGGCTTTCAGTAGAGCCAGGTACCCTTCACAATGCCGGCCATCCGTGACACCCATTGGTGGCCAGAAATTTCTCCCGATGTCGTCCTCTGGTGGCCAGGACTTGTTGCCGATGATGCCCGGAGCGCGAGCTGGGCTTCAGCAGCAAGAGCAGTCCATGAGCTCTGATAGAAAGGTCAAAGGAACCCTAAGCCCCTGCACCCCTAAATCCTAACCCTTAAAACCTAAACCCCTAAACCCCAAACCCAAACCTCAGACCCTAAGCCCGAAACCCGTATAGGAACCCGTACAAGAATCCGAAAACCAAAAAATCTGAAACCCTACAGGAACCCGAAAAGACTCCCTGAAGTTAACGAGCAGCGAAACGAGGCCTTAAAGGAACCCTAAATCCTTCAATACCCTATACGACCCTATAAAAAAATCCGCATCGAACCATACATCCCTGAAGCCCTAAACCTTTGAAGAATACCTTAAAGGAACCCTGAAACCCGAAACCCTGAATCCTAAACCTATCCCCCAAACCCTAAATCCCTAAATCCTATAAAGCCTAAACCCTAACACCTGAAACCCTCAACCAAACCCTTAACCCTAAACCCTAAAGCCTAAAAGCTGAGGCCATCGAGGCCACCCTTGCCAGCGGGTGAAGAGTCGCTTCAGGGGGTTCGGTCACTTTCCCGTGTTTTGTTGTTTTTTTGGGGTTTAGGGTTTAGGGTTGAGGGTTTGGGGTGCCATGGTTTCATGTTGCTGGTGATTTGTAGGGTTTCGTCCTGTAGTATATCGTGAGATGTTGATTATTCCCCTCCTGTTGGTCTTGGTGGATGTGGCCGTCGTAGCAGTAGTCGCAAGTGCTTCTGTAGTCGCAATTGCTTCTTTAGTTGAAGAAGTAGTACTTGTTGCAGCTGATGTTGGTCGCAGTCAGTAGAAGCTGTACAAATCAGCTCAGCCCCGTGTATCAGTCAAAGAACCTCTGTGGATGCATACGCTACCCTCATAGCCGCCCTAAGGGAGGGTTGAAATTATCGAGATCCTCAAACCCGAAATTCTAAAGCCCACCCCAAGAACACTTTGACAGAGGCCTATTAGTCCTTAAAAGCGGGTACTCGGGCTTTAATGAGGGGCAGTTTGGGAGTGCTGGTAAATTGGAAACACTGAGCAGTAAAGTGTAGATCCTAAATTGGTTTATCGTCCACCTGCCGTGAACCGTCTTGCAGCACGTCTCATTGTAGCGGATGTTGGCCGTGTTCACCTCAAAGCCTCAAGCCCAAGCCAATGGTAAGCTAGCCCCTGTCCAACCCCTTAGTACCTTCACCAACCAAACCTAGATTTTTTCGTTCACTATAGATTCCATATTCGGGCTGATAATGGCAGCCTACAAAAAAGTAGGTTTGGGTAGGTGAAGGTAATCATAGGAACCTCTATGAATCTCTATAGGATAAGCCCTTCTGACTCAGGTGAGTTCCTGGGTTCTTGTTAACGAACTTAGTTTAAGATTCTACTGTCAGGATCTATAGCAATAGTTAAGAGGGTCAACCCATGCCCTAAACCCTATCAGCCGTAAGAGGTTTACCTGCCCCTAAACCTGAAATACTCTACCCTTAAACCGCTAGAGAACCCATATCTAGTCCTAAGCAAGCATAGGAACCTAGAACCCTTAGCCCGCTTCAATCAGCGATGTGTGCTAAGTTCCTGTGTTCTTGTTAAGAATAACTTAGTCTAAATTACCATAATGGGAACCTATAGTAAATAAGAGGGTTGCCCTATTACGGCAACTTAAACAACTAAGTTCATAAAAGAGCCAGGAACCCTAAACCCTAAACCCTAAACCCACTAAGTTCCCAAAGAGCCAGGAGCCCAGTTTTTTTCAATTTGCAGGCGGAGTTGGCCCGATGTTGCTGGGAGGTGAAGCAGCTCTCGCAGAGCCAGGCGGGGATTGAAATGGGGATTTGGGGGTTAGGGTTTGGGTTTAGGGTTTAAGGTTCAGGGTTTAGGGTTTAGGGTTTAGGGTTCAGGCGGGCTTTGAAATGGGGATTTGGGGTTTGGAGTTTGGGGTTTGGGGGTTGTTCCCGCTTCAACAAGTCCTCAGAGAGTCCAAAACCACATCATTAAGGAATTGAGTAGACCTTTAATATCTGCAATCATAGAATGCCCCTGTAGTTTGTGGTGTACTACATTGTGTCATGAAGGCGTTCTAGCCTTGTCAAGGTGCGCGGTTGGGTATACACTTCTTCTCACCAAGGGTCCAACATTGCGCAACTAAGCCGGCGTGTTACCTCCCTCAGGCGCAGTGTGGTGACAAGTTTTTTCTAAACCGAGTACCCTGTAGTAGAAGCACAGGGGAACACTGGTGGACCGCACACCCCGAACCTTAACACCCGAACCGCAAAACGGAGCCCTAAACCCCAAGCCAATGAACCCTGAACCCTGAACTCTAAACCCGCCAAGCCCTAAATCCTGAACCCTAAACTACCAGGTTTATTGTTTGGTGTTGCAGGTCTGTAGTGGTCGTCTGAACCCTTGGGGTACTGTAAGGTCAAATGTCTCCTAATTGGGGTTATAAGTAGTTGTAACTACAGTTACCTTAATTGCAACCCTAGCTACTAAGTCCCATGATCCTCCAAGTCAAGCCTCAACCCTTATAGCAACCCTTGTAGAACCCTTGAACGAAGACTGTAAACTTTATAGAGCCTTAAACCCTAAACCCTAGGCTCAGAAAAAAAAACACTCTAAACCTAAACCCTAAGCCCTTAACCCTAAACCCTAAACCCTAAACCCTAAACCCTAAACCCTAAACCCTAAACCCTAAACCCTAAACCCTAAACCCTAAACCCTAAACCTTAACTTTAAAGAGCCCCGTTAGGGCCCCTTAAGTCTTTCAGGGCGTATTGGGCTCTCCGGTGTTTCAGGACCAGACGTCTCTTGCCT